CTACAGGCCTACCTCAAAAAACAAGAAAAATGATAATAGATTATCTAACCCTACAACTCAAAGAATTAGAAAGAGAGCAATAAGAAAAGCCCAGCATAAGCAGAAGGAAGGAAATAATAAAGGTCAGAGTTGAAATAAACAACATAGAGACCAAAAAAAACAAAAACAAAAAAAAAACAATACAAAAGATCAATAAAACCAAGAGCTAGTTCTTTGAAAGGATAAACAAGATTGATGAACCTCTAGTCAGGCTCACCAAGAAGCAAAGAGAGGACCCAAATAAAATCAGAAATGAAAGAGGTGAAGTAACAACTGACCCACAGAAATACAAAGGATTATGAGAAAACTAGAGGCCCAGTGCCCAAACAGTATGCATGAGTGCGGTCCCTAGGCCTGGCCAGCGATTGAAGCACCAGCGTCTGGTGTGGAAGGGCTGTTCCCAGCTGACCTCTGGGCTTTGGGCAGCACCTGGGCCCCCAGGTCCTCATGCGCCCTCCTCCACCTGAATCACAGCGCCCGAGTCCCCACATGGAGATGTGGTGAACACGGCTGGATGCTGTGGGTTGGGGCACAGAATGGGCCTCTGAGCTGCCCAGCAGTGCCATATGGAAGCTGGGCGGGCAGTGCGCTCTCTCCTGGCTGACACCCACCATGTTCCGCGCCGCCCCCTGGTGGTCAGTGCATGTCATAGCGAGCAGTCGAACTCCCAGTTGATCAACTGCCTGAGGGGACAATTTGTATATTAGGCTTTTATTATACAGGATACTATGAACAACTCTATTCCAACAAAATGGACAACCTAGACAAAATGGACATATTCTTAAAAAATACCAGCTTTTAAAACTCCATCAAGGAAGAATCAAAAAACCTGAATAGGCTGATAACTACTGAAGAAATTGAAGCAGTAATCAAAAATCTTCCAACAAACAAAAGCCCTGGTCTGGACAGCTTTACAGGGGAGTTCTACCAAGCATTCAAAGAAGAACTAAAACCTAGTCTCCTCAGACTATTACAAAAAATTCTAGAGGAAGGCACACTTCCAAGCAAGGAGAGAGAAAGAAAGGGAGAGGGAGGAAGAAAGGAGAAACAACTTGCATTCTCTCTCTTTCATATCAGAGAGAGAGAGAGAGAGAGAGAGAGAGAGAGAGAGAGAGAAGGAGAGAAAGAGAGAGGGAGAGGGAGGTGATAGAAAAAGAAAAGAAAGAAGGGGAAGAGAGAAAGAGAAAGAAGAAAGAAAATAAAATAAAAAAGAAAGGAAAAGAAAGAAAATAAATGAAATGAGCATGTGTATGAGCTTATGAAGGCAGGAATTTTTGTCTGTTTTGTTTACAGCTATATTTCCAACATCTAGAATATTGTCCAGCTCATTGTTGGTACTCAAATAATATTTGTTGAATGGATGAAGGAAACAAATTTATTTTTTTATCTAACTATTTGTCCTCAAGTTTGTTTCAAGCTTTCAGCTCATGAAACATACTAGTTTTCCATTAGAAAAATCTTTCCTGAATGCCTAGTAGTAGAAATTTGCTATCTGCAAATTCAGCTTAGTATTGTCTCAAACTGCCTCTTAATAACAGACTTAATTTTGTTTTCGTTTGGATTTAATCTTTGAATGAGATTATAATTAGTTGTTTCTCTAAGGGATGTTTAAAATAGACTTATTACATACAAGAGAAAATGTAGGAGGCAACCTACACCTAAAACATAATTTAGTTTTCTGAGGTAAGTGAACTGGTACAGATAATATGACATTCATTACAATAAAACTATTCTTTCTAATTGACTCTATTATTTGACTGCTTTGGCTTTTCAAACCAGAAGTGAGTGATAGCAAGAGAAAAGGGGTTCTGTAAAACAGGCCCCGACAGCCAGAATCTAGAACCACTGAGAGATGTCCATCAATTTCTTCCCTCTCTATCTTAAACTCTTTCCCAGAGCCTCAGACAGATCACTGTCAGCCTTTAAAAACTAACATCTGCTTAATCATTTTCTTTTCCATCCCCATCGAGTAACAGAAGGAACTTCAGAGATTCTAAAGGTTGGTGGTTTGCAGTCTGAGTTGGGTGTAGACAGGAAGGTGATTGGCAAAGCTCAGGTTTCCTGCGCTCTTTTCAACCAGAGCAGGTTCACTCATCATTTTAACAGGTTGGGTTCATTAGTAAATTTTGTTAAAAAAAGTTGCTTATGTGAATAAAAGTTTAGAAACTTTATTGAGCTCAACTTCCTTGATTTCTAATTTAAAACACCAAGGCTCAGAGAGAAGCAATTTTTCAAAGATTTCGAAGCAGAGCCAGGACCATAATTTACATCTACTTATTCCCAGGCTGGATATCTTCCCACCATACTGTACACACACTGGCTCCAAAACCTCCTTATATCAGCGACTCACCATTGTTTGAAAAATTAGCAGTCTTCTTTTCTGGAATTGTATACTGAGGTTTGGCATAAAATAGGAATCCAGGCTCTTCCAATAGTCTCTAAAAACCAAGTAACATGTATGATAAGTCTTGCTTCAGATTATTGCTCCATTGTGAATATTATCAATTACCAATTATCAGTTGTTTGGGAGTGAAATATTTTCATTGCCATAGATTTAACTGACAGTGATTGAGCATAATATGGTGTGTCCTTTATATAACTGAATCACGGTGCTGGGGGTGGTGGTGTGGGTGGAGTTGATCCTGCCTGAGTAAGCACAGGGGCTGGCCTGGAGAGAAGGGGGTTAGAAGTGATGTCATCACCCCCTTTTCCTCTGCTTTTTAACCCAACCAGGCAGTGCCTTCCTTATCTTTATCATAACTTGGGTTTGTACATGGTATGTTTTGGGTTCTTAAAATAAAAGAGGAATATTCCTTCATGCTTAGAAGAGCCAATGTATGCCCTGTTTCAAGAGGAGGTGCGTAATACTCCAGAACGGGATGATCATCACCTGTTCTCTGTAAGCCTATTAGGTAGTTTTGGTGAATGGGAAAGTTGCCTTCCTCCTGCTACTTAGTATCTTATTTTGCTTTTAATAATGAAGCAAGTTCTCTAGGGACTAGTTTTCTGGCTAACTAATGCCCTTGCAAACCTCTTAACATAAAACATAAGTAATAGAAGTTCACAGGAAATGAGCTCTTGGATTCCCTAGAGCATGGTTAGAAAGTCTGAACTAATGTTCACAAGCTATTGTTTTACAGCAATTATATAGTTTGTTTTCCACAAGTATTGAAACATTCTTCATAGAAAGTACAGGTCAACTTAAAGTCAGAAGCGCTGGTTCTTGGAGTACTATGAAGTTATAAAAAATATTCTTAAAGTATTTTTAATAATATTGTAATCATTTACTTTCATGATATGGAGTTAAGCTATGTTCATTTTAGACATGCAATATTAATAATTTTCACATCTCTGCAAGAAAACTGACAAAATATTATTAACTTAATGTTTTGATTTTATTTCATGAAGACCCCTGATTATCAATAAAAAAGAATTAGTCAACTACTAGTATATGGCAGTTTTGCAATATGAAAAGTTGTGAAGCACTGAGGGTATAATCCCTACCATTATCTCCCATTCTGAGAGAAGCCTCAGGAACCAGACCAAACCAGCTCTATAAAAACCAAGTGAGTATGCTCTTGGGCAGGTAATTAGAAGTAGAGCTAAGGCTAGCACATGAGGCTCCTGACTGTACAACATCACTTATTTTCATAATCACTCTTTATGACAGGTAAGGATAAAAAGATTTTTCAAAAAGCGAAAATTGCCTTTATATATCTTAGCTTTGTATTTCACATTCTAATGACAAACAGATCACATTTCATTGGAGCAAGAAATTAGGGAATGTCTCAAATTTGACACTTATGATTTCAGATACTTTCTTTTTCTTTTTGATCAGAGATTTATTGCTTAACTGAAGCAGAATTAGTTGTTATGGTAATCCCCCCCCCCAAAAAAAAGCAAGATAGAATAATTCACACCATCATACTTTCATCCCTGTCTCAGTCTGAAGCATTTATAAAGGTCCCCCCATTCACATGATATATTGTGATCTACAAAGCTGTGAATTTCATAGGGATCAACTGATTGAAACTTCTTAATTTATAGGTAAGGAAACTGTGACCCAAACTATGCTTCTGCAAAGTGTGACAAATTTAATAAAATGATAAAAACAATGAATATATTTAGATTATCTTATTTTCAATCAAGGAGATGAGTACATTTAGTGAGATGATAAATTAAAAAGGAGTAAAGCAAGTGATAGACTATGATGAAATGGTCAATATGTCCATTTAAATTAGGGTATGGGGAGTAGAATGGATGGAGACAGGAACAAAAAGTTGAACACTGAGGATGTAATACTTTTATCCATTTTAGATGTTTTTTCTATTATTGCAAATTTACAGATCAAAAAGTGAGAATACACAGGGATTCACACACACACATACACTATGACAAAGTTCACACCTTTTAATTCCCTATATGTAGGTGATTTTCTTTTTCTTTTTTAAAAAATATATTTTTACTGATTTCAGAGAGGAAGGGAGAGGGAGAGATAGAAACATCAATGATGAGAATCATTGATCAACTGCCTCCTGCACGCCCCCTATTGGGGATAGAGCCTGCAACTTGGGCATGTACCCTGACTGGGAATCAACCACTGAGCCACGCTAGCAGGCTCTGCTACTCTTTAAATGAAAAATCATGTGCTACATAAGTTTCTGATAATAAATAAATTCCCAGATGTGTCCACATTATGATTGCATAATCAATTTAACTGGTACTGGCTCTTAGCCTTATTTAATCTGTGAGCCACTTAGAGTATAAAATTCTTCACCTTTCCCCACTCAGTACAAGAAACAGCTCATCTTGATGAAAGTAATGACATTTCTCAGAAAAAAACTTACTCATTTTTATTTACTAAATAGAAACTTTTTATATACAAACTATGTAGAGAGTTTCATAAGTCAATGCTTGGATGTCATTGTCATAGAAAACAGGATTTATAAGCCAGTATCATTATTTTGTCATAGCTCAGCATAAAATATAATACATATATGGTTTTGTATGTATATCAATAATATTTTATACTCTGTTGATGTTCTGTATGTTTTTTTAAAATTCTTTACTGTTGAAAGTATTACATATGTCCCTTTTTTGCCCCCATTGACACCTTCCAGCCGTCCCTGTCACCCCCTCTCCCCCTTCCCCCGCCCCTCACCTCCCTGCTACCCTACCTTCACCGC